TTTTAACTGTACTTAGTTCAACAGCATAGTGTGTTATCGTTGAAGAAGGATTTGTCACTATGTAATTGAAGAAAAGATGATACGTAATTTTACAGCTATAATTGTTACACACAGGAACTAAATCATTCAATAAACGCTCACCAATCGTTTCATCGTTACATCATCGTAATATTTGTTTGAATCCTTGATATTGTATTCTTATAGTTTTCTATTCAGTTTTTATCTTACAGAACGTGTTATTCATTCCTAATTCGTAATACATAATCAAAAACATAGTACGCCGCTGATATACTATAATGTGGTTATTTTATCGTAGCAAAATTCGGTAAAAATTCGTCTGAAACAATTCCGCATGTACGAAAAAACTTATATTATATCGAAATACAAGCGTGTATACGTTGAAATGCGTTATAAAATATTTAATCTTTACAATAATATGTAATTTGCTAAACTGGAAGCTGGCAAAGCCATAGTGATGTTGATATATAGAGGGGAAGATTTACTTTTTTATTGATAAAATGATGTAAAATACGTTTATTTGAACTCTTGGACAAGACGGAAGACGGTCTATCAACATTTTTAAATAATTTATTTTCTATTAAAAAATGATACGTAATGAATTATTTCCTTCAGTAGGTAAACGACACTAATTTTTGTTTTTCGAACACTTTTGCTTTCATATCTTTACGTTCCATGAAACAAAGGCTGATGGCCATGATTGGTTCCAGTGGACCAAAGATTGTGTGTGGAAGTGAAGTGAGAAACCAATAATTAAAGATATTTTAATAAAAAACCTACTCCTCGAGTACATACCCTGGTAGGTTCGTTTTCTGGCTACTAATATAATCATGATCTTTTATCATTGAAATGTCTCAGCAACTTGATAAAGGGCTATGTCACTTGAACTATCATTCGAGAAAATACAAGTTGTCTCCTATTACTAATAATTTATTCCTATTTATCACAGAGAATTACTATGGTTCGATGTGTTTTGCGCATGTTGTTGTTTAGTATCTGCCACTATAAATGATATTTCTTGCCCTTTCAACATTTATATCAACCCATAAGCACTGTTAATACAGAAATTGTTACAACCTAATGTGCTTATACACATCAAGGCAAAAATATGAGATTTACCATTAAAGTTGTTGACCCGGAGCCAACCTCCTCTATTTAATCACTTAAATAAATACCTCTTATGTTGCAACATGTATCGGCCCAACAAAAATTATGTTTATCTATGTTTTTCGTCTAATTAACTGATTTGATTTCTTTAGAATATATTTTACCTTCAATTCTCTAAAGATTTTATACTGTCACTTTTGTTATTTCCTTACGTGAATATGGACGATACATTTTTCATGTACATGATAAAGGAGGAAGAAATAATGTATTTTTTTATTTTTAACCAAAAATTAGTTCAATTATCACCTTACAACATATC